CTATATTAATGTATGTGTGTGTATTATTGACAGTTAACGTTTTTCCTAACTGTCAATAAAAGATATTACTGCTAATTTTTGCTTGAAATATCTGAAGAATATGCACCAAGCAATCTTTAGGTTAAAATTAAGGATGATTTCATGCACCAAACAATCTTTAGGTTAAAATTAAGGATGATTTCCTTGTGACCGTAACGTTAAGAATTTTAATCCTTGGGGGGAAAAAAAATCATTCAACTCTATAGAGCCTATATGGGTGGTATGCATTAACTAAATACATGAGATGAAAAAATCATTCAACCCTATAGAGCCTATATGGGTGGTATGCATTAACTAAATACATGAGGTTTTCTTCTCATATTTTGCAATTTTTGTTTTTTTGTCAAATGGGGGGAAATTCNAGACAAGAGATTGCTGCAATTAAGCAAGAGGAGTTTTACTTCAGCATGCTGGGTTGCTTTGTCTTTTGGAAAAGCGGACCCTAACTCCTTGACATGAGAGTTTTTATACACCTTTTTTTGGACAGAGACTTTCATGACAGGGTAAGCTGTTAATTAGCTGAGGCACTTTGATATTCATGGTCAGGCTCAACAGGCTTACACCCCGATAAGAGATGATACATTTTTCTTTTTTTTTTTTTTTTGTCTTTTTCTGTGTCCAGCAACGGATCGCAACCCTCAGTGTTGCCCCCGTACTGGACCGGGGACCGGCAACGGAATTGCAACCCTCAGTGCCGCTCCTGCGCCTCGCTCAGCCAGTGAGCGGGAACAGGTCCGTATGTGGGATCCGAACCCTCGGGCGGGAGCGCCGCCGCACTTCCCAAGCGGCGCACTATCCAGTGCGCCACCGGGCCGGCCCAGAGATGATACATTTTTCAATTGCTTATCTTCCCTGGGCTCTGCCAGGTGTCCTGAAGATAAGGGGGCTGGTTAGTTTTGGGGACCAGCTGGTCCCTGGAATGTGTGTCTGAGTCTTCCTTAACCTCTGCCTGACCTCTTTGAAGCTGCTTCATTTAAAATACCTTTAGATATGTTTCCCCGTTTTTAGTAAGTGCTTACAGAAACAATTTGTGCAAGTTTAAGTTATACAAATGAATTGTGCAGGTTAGAATTACTTTTTTTTATAAATTTCACTGACATTCAGCAGAACTCGAAATACAACACTTTTTTGCCAGTAAATAGCTAAACAACCCTGGACAAGTAGTGTACTTACTGCAGACCTTTGTTTCATTACCTATAAAGAAAGAGTTGGGCCAGGTGAAGCCCAGAGTGTCTCATGCCTCTTCCCATTGCCACATTCTATGGCTATTTTGGCAAAGTTAGTCTCAAAGAAAACACTTCTGTTCCTTGACAGGTATCTAAGTAAGGATGCTCTTCTGAAAGAAATTAAAATCACAAAATTTCCTTTTAAAAATTGCCAAAAGAAAAGTTGATCTCATAGAAGTAGAGAGCAGAATAGTGGTTACTAGAGGCTGGGAAGAGTAGGGGGAGAAGGGGAAAGACAGAGGTTACAGATACAAAGTTACAGCTGGACAGGAGGAATAATTTCTAGTGATCTATAGCTTTGTAAGGTGACTAGAGTCAGCACACATTTATTATATACTTTGAAATAGCTAAAAGAGAGGATTTTGAGTTTTCCCAACACAAAGAAATGACAATATTTAGGTGATGAGTTTGCTACTTACCCACACTTGACCATCATGCGTTATAAACATGGATTCAAATCCGGCAGTGGCCCAGCCGAAACTGAGCCGAGGTGGGGGGTGGCAAGGACAGCGTGTGTCACAGGCCCATGGGGGGGGGGCTCGGAACCGTGTGGCAGAAGTGATGTCACAAAGGGGCCTGGTTACCAGGGTGCGCATGGGGGATGCCTGAGGCCAGTGGGCACCAGAGCTCCCCGGCTCCCCACACGGCTGGCTGCGCTGTGTCTGCTGCTGTCACCGGGGCCAGTTTGCATTCCTGACAGAACGTAGAGCTGTCTCAGCTGCTGGTTGTGGCCCAGCCAGGCTGTGGCTACCGCGGCCACAGCCCTAGCAGCCTTGGCATCATGGAGGTGCCCGGGGCTGCCCCTCAGCTGTACTTGGGGCTGGTTCTGGGAAAGCTGTGCAGGACTGTGGCAGCATTGCCTGAAGACCTGAGACCGGGCCCTGGTTTTCTGTGGGAACTGGTGACATGTGAGGCTCTTACTGCATTTTTGATTCTCTTGTTTCTGTGGAGAAGTGTTCGATCGGTGAGAAGCCGGCTTTATGTAAGAAGAGAGAAAAAGCTTGCTGAAGAGCTTTCTGGACTAATTGAAGAAAAATGTAAACTACTTGACAAACTTAGCATTGTTCAAGAGGAGAATGAAGGCTTACAGTCAGCTTTGAAGGATGTCAGCTTTGAGAAGGAGTCAACAGAAGCGCAAAGCTTGGAGGCAACCTATGAAAAGCTGAGCAGGTCCAAATCTAAACTTGAGGATGAAATAGTCTTTCTAGCAAAAGAATTAAAAGAACAGAAATCTAAACATTGTGAGCAAGATGAACTGATGGCAGATATTTCAAAAAGGATACAGTCCCTAGAAGATGAATCGAAATCCATCAAGTCACAAGTAGCTGAAGCCAAACTAATCTCCAAAATCTTTCAGATGAATGAAGAACGTCTGAAGGCGGCACTAAAAGATGCCTTGAATGAAAATTCCCAACTTCAGGAAAGCCACCAACAGCTTTTACAAGAAGCTGAAGTATTGAAAGAACAAGTGAGTGAACTTCATAAACAGAAAATAACATTTGAAGACTCCAAAGTCCACGCCGAACAAGTTCTGAGTGATAAAGAAAATCACATCAAGTCTCTGACTGAACGCTTGCTCAAGATGAAAGACTGGGCTGCTGTGCTTGGAGAAGACATGACGGATGATGACTTGGAATTGGAAATGAAGAGTGAATCACAAAATGGTCCTCACTTAGATGATCCACCAGAAGGAGCTTTGAAGAAACTGATTCACGCTGCTAAGTTAAATGCTTCTTTAAAAACCCTAGAAGGAGAAAGAAACCAAATTCACACTCGGTTATCTGAAGTAGATAAAAAAAAGGAAGAGCTTACAGAGCATATTACAAATCTCCTGACTGAACAAGCATCTTTACAGTCAGAAAACACACAGTTGGAAAGTGAAAATCAGAAGCTTCAGCTGAAACTTCAAGTAATGACTGAACTGTATCAAGAAAATGGAATGAAACTCTACAGGCAATTAATAGTAGAGGAAAATTACCAGTTAGAGAAGGAGGAGAAACTTTCCAAAGTAGAAGAGAAGATGAGCCATGCAGCTGAGGAACTGGAGACCTACAGAAGGCGAGCCAGAGATGTGGAAGAAGAATTGGAGAGAAGCGTTCGTTCTTATCAAGGGCAGTTGATGGCCTATGAGAAAGAAGCGCATGGCAGTTGGGTGGCAGCTGAGACTGCTGAAAGACACCTCAGTTATTTAAGGAAAGGAAATGTTTACAAGAGAGAAAAATTAACGGAAAAAGAGTTTAAATTTGAACTTGTGAAAAAAGATCCTTTTGCACTCGATGGTCCAAATACAGCATTTGGCAGAGAGCAGTCCCCATATGGTGCCTCACCAGTGGGTCGACCTTCATCCGAAACGAGAGCTTTTCTCTCTCCACTCAGACTCGCACCTTTGACTCCAGGGCGAGGAGGAGGAAGAGGCTCAAGAGGTGCAGAGAATACTCTGGATCATCAGATGACCAATGAAAGAGGAGAATCGGGCTGTGATAGGTTAACCGATTCTCGTGGAGCACCTTCTGGGTTCCTGTCACCTCCGTGGGAACAGCACCGGAGGATGACGAACCCTCCACCAGGCCAACCATGTTCTGATCCAGCTCTTCTTCCACGAAGGCAAGACAGATTGGATTCTAATCCTGGTGGACCATCTGGACCAGCAGAACTCAGAAGTTTTAATATGCCTTCTTTGGATAAAGTGGATGGGCCGAAGCCTTCACAAATGGAATCCAGTAGAAATGATACCAAAGACGACCTTGGTAATGGAAATGTGCCTAATTCATCTGTGCCTGCTGAAAGGGAAGCAACTGGCCCTGGCTTTGCTACTCCACCTTTTCCTGCAATCAGAGGTCCATTGTTTCCAGTGGATATGAGGGGTCCATTCATGAGAAGAGAACCTCCTTTTCCTCCACCTCCTTCAGGAAGCATGTATGGAGCTCCTTGAAATTATTTTCTACCAAGGGTTTTCCCTGTCCAAACACCACCTCCATTTGCAATGAGAAATGTCTGTTCACCGAGGGGTTTTCCCCCTTATGTTCCTCTAAGAGCTGGATTTTCACCTCCACCCCCACATTCTGAAAGTAGGGGTGGGTTCCCTTCAGGGTCGCTTCTGTGCTCAAATGACCCTTCTCCTGAAATCCAGAAGCACAGCAAGAAACCTGATACTTTTAGTCTCTCTTCATAGTTATGACTTATCCCTCATTTTCAGTTTAAGTAACTACTTGTTTTGCTCAAATTGAAGCTTAATTGAATTATAATTCTCAGGGTAGTATTTTGTAAATAAAGATGATTTAAATATGAATTTTGTGAGTAAGTGCTAGCAAGTGCTCCATGCATGCTGCAAGGCAGGAGGTGTCTCAGGGCTCTGTTTCTATGGGAACCAATGGCACAGGCTAGCTCCCTGTAGTTCCAACCTCCGTTCCAGGCAGGACAATGGCACTTGGGGAGGACTCCCATACTGCAAGGACCTGGGGGCACAGCCCCGGGTCGCCGACGCTCCACGCGGGGGTGCTGAGACGG